CGGGGGCAAGGCTGGGGGGGGGGTTACCACGGTGCGTTCCCTACCACTAGTCCCCTACAGCCCCCCCAGCGCCTCTCGGACACCCTACAGGCTGTCCTGGAACACGAGCCCTCCCCCGCGCAGGCCACGGAGGCCTCGGCCCCAGACACCCCCCAACCTGCAGCCACACCCCAGGCACACTCAGCCCGGGACCTACCCCTGCCACAAGCCCCGTTGCCAGCCCCTCTATACAGGTAACACCATCCCAGGCCCTACCCGCATCAGCCACCACAGCAGAGGCTCATACAACTGCACGGCCGCTAATGGGACCTGTGCCAGCTCGTCCACGGACAGTGGCCAACCCGGGCAGTCGCTGCAACAGGCCAGACCTCAAAACCGGTAACACACGTGGGGGGACATTTTACCCGGCCTGGGCACTCGGCCATGGGTGTGAACGGCGCCATTCTCCGACCCGGGAATTTCACCAGGCACTTAGCGAGCGACTGCAGGACGGGAACGCAGCTACGACCTGGGCACTGCTGCCCTGGGCTGGGATAAAGACAGTAAGTGACGAACGCACAACAAAGCTCATTTCCCTGCCTTTGACAGCCAAAGCTGTGGGGACACACCCAGCCCCCTTAACGAACATGGGGCCTGCCACTGGCAGTAACTGCGCTTGCTGGTCTGCAGAGCGTGGCGTCTGCTTTCCACTCCAACTCATCCGAGGACGTGGGCTTTACGTGGGATGCCACCCGGTCCTGCCGGCTTAGTCGCATCCAGTGTGTCCGTTTGTTTCAAGCCCTCCTCTTCTGCGCTCTCGGTCAGGGCCAGTCCCTTCGGCGGGTTGCCTACAACGCACGGCTGGCCTGCAGGGTCAGTGACACCCGATGCACACGGGGACTAGCCTCTCTCTGCAACAGCCCTGCCTGCCCCGGCCGCACCCCGCTCCGGGGCGGGGAGCCCTGCCGCAGACCGAACTCCCATGCCTCGCTCCCGCAGTGGTGTCTTGGCTGCGCGCTGTTGCTGTGTGCGGTTACACAGCTGCCCCGGAGGTGGCTGCAGCCCGGTGGTGGGTGGGAGAGGTGGGCAGGCGGCCGATCCAGGGCGGGGGCACCGGGGCTGTCCTGGCAGGGCTGGCTGTAACCTGCTGCG